TTAATTAAATAAAGAGACTGTTAACATGCCTAAGAATTGAATCTGAGGAAATGTGAAAAAACAGCATAACTTATAAAATAATGGTCCGATTATGCTGATTTTCGAACTTGACCTGCGTTTTAGTAAGATTGATTACTCCTGTGAGTTTCATGACAACAGGCCTATGGGTTTTCCTTGAAATGTGTTAACAGTTTTGCATATATGCTGAAAAGTGAAAAAACAGCATAACTTATAAAATAATGGTCCGATCATGCCGATTTTCGAACTTGACCTGTGTTTTAGTAAGATTGATTACTCCTGTGAGTTTCATGACAACAGGCCTATCAGTTTTCCTTGAAATGTGTTAACAGTGTTGCATATATGCTGAAAAGTGAAAAAACAGCATAAATTCTACAATAATGGCCCGATCATGCTGATTTTCGAACTTGACCTGCGTTTTATGAATATTCATCAGCTCTGTAAATATAAAGCCAAAAAGTAAAACTGTCTTCCACTTATGGTGTTAACGCTGAAAGTGCACGGCGACATGATCGGCGACGGCGACGACAGACGCAGGTGATGGCAATATGTACAGACACATCTGTGTCTGTACATAAAAATGCCATGAAAAGAGGTGAAGGGATGTGTGAGATTACTTGTAGATGGCATATTGTATAATGTATTATCAAATTCAATTTTACACACTGTCATACTGTTTATTGGCCCAAACTATTAATGCCAATTTAAAATCAATGTGAAATTGGAAAGAGAACAAAAATGCTCTAAAATGTCTTTATCCAAATTAAACTAATTTACCTTACACTTGGCAAATATTTTATCTAGCTGAAAACTTGTGCAGATACATGTATAAACTTAATACTGGCTCATCAAATACTCTACATTTATATTATCTAAAGTATATCATTATAGCATACAAACTTTTCTGCCCAATCAATGATTTACTTTAGATAATAGTTATTAATACCTTGCATAAGACCACTCCCGCTCCCATTCCAGCTGAGAGCTTTGATGGCATGATCCACATCTGAGAAGTCCACCCCCTGATGTCTCAATGTCACCTTGCTCACCACCCCAGTATCACAGAAGGCCACAAAACTGGACAGCTTGGCAAACAGCAGCTGCATCCCCTGAGAATGTTATATGGCAAAAATTAATAATTGAATAATAATGAGGCTTTATCTAATTAATTAGTGAAATAGAATAATAAATAAAAATTGTAATTTTCTAATTTATAAATTTAATAAATAATTAGCTGGCTGATAAACTCATCAGTAGATAATTTTTAAAAAATGAGCACTGAGCTACCCTGGTAAAAATCAACACTCTGAGTACTTTTCTAGCTTTTATTTCAGACACATCACTCTAAAGACACCTTTCATCAGTCATACCCTCAGTTTATTTTGTGATGTCCCAGTCGAGCGGACCAGTTTGTTCTCCTTCAGCATTATGTCCAGCTGCTGTTCCTTCTTTCTTAGCTCACTGGCAAACTGATGAAGTGGAGCCAGGTCTTCAGACAGTGTCATTTGCAAGGATGACTCCAGTTCCTGCTTCTTCATGTTCAGCAGTGCTATCATGATATCACAGTTACTTCGCATTGTTTCAGTTTTTCTTTTGACTCCTTCCTAATTCAGAAATAGAGATTACTGTACAGTAAAAACAAGGTTGTCAGCAGTCCCAAGCTTGTGTCTACTACGTATGACTTTTCTCATATCACAAGCACAAGAGTGTATATGCTGGTAACTCTATAAAACAACTAAACCAGAGAGAGAGAGAGAGAGAGAGAGAGAGAGAGAGAGAGAGCAGCACGTTCTACAAGAAACAAAAAACTAACTCTAAACTGATAACACTAGTTTAAAAATACTACTGGTATATATTTTCAATTAGATTGAGACTTGATTTCAGTTTAATTACAGAGGGAGCAGGACATAAATATAATGTGACACTATGACAGGTGTAAACAGTCCTCTACTGATGATCAGTGACAGTGCAATACATATTTGGACTGACATGAAATTCAACCCATTTTGATAGATACATGTGCATCATGATTCTCACCTTAATACTTTCTTCTTCTGCCTTAATTTGCCTCTGTTTTTCATGGATGTCTCCTTGTAGTCTCTTAGCTTCTTCAACCACAGGATTTAATTTTCTCTTTAAAAATACAAAAATTGTCTATGTTTATATTATATTAATAATAGAATTTAGATATACATGTACTCCATGACTAAACAAAATTCATACCAAAATACAAGATTAAGNCAGGCCCGTAGCCAGGGGGGTTTTGGGGGGGGGGGTCGAAAGAACACCCCTTTTTGCTGGAAAAAGGGTAAAATTTGACCTAGGTACATGGGGATTATATGGTAATAGGTCCACTTTTTCAGAAAAAGAACCCCCCTTTGAAATTGCTGGCTACGGGCCTGCTGGTAACTCTATAAAACAACTAAACCAGAGAGAGAGAGAGAGAGAGAGAGAGAGAGAGAGAGAGAGAGAGAGAAGCACATGCTCTACAAGAAACACAAAAAATAACTTTAAACTGATTACACTAGTTTAAAAATTCTACTGGTACATAATTCCAATTACATTGATACTTGATTCCAGTTTATGTACAGAGGGAGCAGAACACAAATATAATGTGACACCATGATAGGTGTAAACAGTCCTCTACTGATGATCAGTGACAGTGCAATATATATTTGGACTGACATGAAATTCAACCCATTTTGATAGATACATGTGTATCATGATTCTCACCTTAATACTTTCTTCTTCTGCCTTAATTTGCCTCTGTTTTTCATGGATGTCTCCTTGTAGTCTCTTAGCTTCTTCAACCACAGGATTTAATTTTCTCTTTAAAAATACAAAAATTGTCTATGTTTATATATTATTAATAATAGAATTTAGATATACATGTACTCCATGACTAAACAAAATTTATACCAAAACACAAGATTTTTTTGACAGGATACATTTGCACATCAAATTGGATGGCCCAAAAAAAGAGACCTGGTCAACTGTGTATGCCAATAATGTGGCAAACTATAAAACAATGTTGCTCATTAACATCAGTGAGTGGTGGCAAAGACAGGGTGACAGACAGTAAACAGCAGTTTATGCACAGACAATGGAGATGCATTTGCATTGACTTTTATTAACAGACACCTCTTTTAAGTGTTAATCCATAGTCATCGGTAAGGACTTATCTAATCACCTAACTGTGTTCAACAGAAGCTTATTTTTCCACTTTCCAATTAGCACCTACTAGTAGATATTTCACAAGAATAAGATCATTAGATGGTGGATTATTAACAAGATACAGTGTACTACATATACTACTGTAGTACATGAACTATTGTAGTACATGCATCTGTTCTCAGTAGTTACATGTATCCAATAACTTATAAGTGTCTGATCGATCATATATGTGTACAAAGCTGAAGGACTCAGCATGATGATACCAGCCTATTTTGAATACTTGTAAATGTTACAATTTGAATTAATGTTGTAAATAAATCAAGAAAAGAGAACTTGAGCATCCACTTTCACTTTTAATTATCATAGCATACTGTAGGGTGACATGGTTTATCAAACACGCAGGGAGACACATTACTAGTTACTCGTTACTTAAACTTAAGAATAAATTATAATGTAATTCCAACCAGGAACATTTACCTTCTCCTCAGTGATAAGCTCTTCAACAGCCGCCACATGGTGACCGAATCGGAGATGGGACTCGTCCTTTTGCAGACATTTTTGGCACATGTCCGTTTTACATGTCGTACAAAACAAATTTCTGGGTTCGTTGTGTAAGAAACACATACTGGCTGCCAAGGTGTTACTTTCTTTCTCCTTAATGAAGGCCTTGACTACCTGATTAAGACTTCGATTTACAGGGAGAGAACTCAAAAATGAACGGTCTTGCACCACTTCTCGACGGCAAGTGGGACAAGCGAAAGTCCTTGCTCCACCACCGTGTCGTACGAGGCCCTGAATGCATTGTTCACAGAAATTATGTGTACATGGCAACATCAGCGGTGTTGTATATAACTCTAAACATATCGAGCACGTCAACTCTCCCTCCATTCTATTGATCATTGACCTACATGATAACTAAAAACGTCAAAACACAATCGCGTCGGCTGCACTATTTCAACTTCCTGTTAGAGCAGAGCAGCCTGGGAAATCTTTTTTATAAAATATTCTTATAGTTTTCTTATCCAAACTGAGAAACGCTCACAATTATGCCTGCATATGATTTAAAAAACTTTTTAATATCATTTTGACTAAAATAGTCGAGATCACATCAGCTCATTAGATATCGACATTTCGTTGTAATAGTCTCGCGTGACAAAAGTGCAGTATTGATTAAAAATGGCGACTCACAACTCCAGTCAGCCAGCTGATTCTAGAGTAAACGACTTTCCACAGAATTTTTTCGACAAGTACAGGAAAAGCGGTGCTACGAGAGATGGCGGTAAGATGCAAGAATGCTTCCGTACATTCGATACTGATAGGTAAGTAGACTGACCAAAGTTATTTTCGAAAGTCTGTCAGTGTTTACATTTACGAATGCACGCTCGACTGTCACTGTACGAAGTTTAATGTGTTTAGCATTCCTATTTACGATTTCTGATATGTGTTATTTGCCCACATGGTACGTATCAGAGACCGTAGTCAGCGGTGGTAATGCATGAAACCTTGTGCTTGGTTATAAACTTGATGGGTTAATGAATCTAGAAATCGTGTGGAAATAGTGAAAAGCAAAATCCTACAATCTTGTCAGATTGAAAATGATAAAAAAATAAATTATGAGAAAATCATTTAAATCCAAGTACATGGAAACACATCCATCTCTTATTGGGATGAGATCTCTACCATATTATGGGATATGACAAAAGCCACTGCAATATCTGTACTAGTACATAAAAACTGAGCAGTTGGTATTAATCAGACAAGTGAAGTGATAGACAAGTGTTTGTTTTGATATTGAAAGATAGAGTTGGCAGTTGCATACCTGTTTGGAAATTGCCAGGTTCAGAGATTTTTCATGCTTCCACCCTGGAAAACTGTTAGGTTGGGAGCTTTTTGGTCTGAATTCAGAGACTGGGAGAGTAGTCCTATACTCGGGAGACTCCCTACAAAAATGGGTGAGGTAACAGGTCTACAGGTGATGATGAAGTGGCTTTTGTCATGTATTGCTCCTACCCTGAAGCATGACAGAGCTAGTGCATATTTCTCCTCTACATGTAACATGGCTCCCATTTAACATTCTTAGTTGTTATTTGATACTTGTTGCTTGGGATACTATTCAGTTGAACACAATGATTTTGCAAGTGGTCATTATTCATATAATGCATACTTAGTCCTGTATGCATACCTTATCCATATGGCTGTCCATCCAAAATGCTTGATCTCAAATCTCAGTCTTCTAATCTTTTAGCGTTCTTTATGTTAGCCAGGACAGGCTGCAGACATTGCAATGTGGTGATTCAGCTCACTGCACATAGACTGCACGAGATGTATCACAGACACAGCAGTGGCTACATTCAAACATATCTGAGGAGAATTTTAATGTTATCCTCTATAACAGTTGAGCTGTTTCCTGTTCAGTGTCACTAGAAAATTCAATAGACTTGATGTTCTTTCATCTTACTATAACTATTGTATATCATGATTGTTTATATTATCGTCTCAGTTTGAATTATGAATCCACTAGTATATGTATACAGTAATAAGCATGTTACAGGTTACTGCTAATTTATGAATGGAGTCTGAGTGTATCTATATTAGGCTCTGTTGTCTTCTTTCTTTTAACATAAACAGTAGTTTCTTGTTTTTATCTAGTAAACACACACACATACACACACACACACACACACACACACACACACACACATTACATATATATATAATGATTTATATATATATATATAATTTATATATATAATATATATATAATTTATATATATATATATATATAATTTTGCATTGGAGTTTTAGTAAAAAAAATACAGGGGTCAAAAATGTCCCGTCAGAGACCGACCTTTAAGTGATTGTCATTCCCACATTAATTTCAATATAAATTAGCTGCTTGTTTTGCATAATCCTTTATGGTCTAGCTAAATAAAAATGTATTTAAAAGTAACCATGTGGATCATTTTCCAACTGTAATTTTTAAAATTGTCTCTAAAATGTCCCGTCAGAGACATTTCAAATACCGTGTTTTGACCCATATTTATTTTTAAGATATCACAAACACACTTGCGTCACTCTTCTTTAATTGTATTTATAACAGTTTGAATGTTCTAGCATCTTGGCTATGCACTAATAAGTTTGTAGGAATGTCTTATCTGTTTTACAGTTTCTGAAAAAGGCATTGGAAAAAAATAAAATGTTCTTTTAAATGTATTTTTATTTTAATTGCAGAGATGGATACCTCAATACTTTGGAATTTGATGGCCTTCTTAGCCAGTTATTTTCAAAAAGAGGAAAGCCTTATTTATTAACGGATTCTCAGAGGACAGAACTGTTCAACCTGGTGGACAGCAACAAGGTAAGACATTAAATTTAAGTTATATATAAAGCAAGCATGGTTTTCTAGTAACCCATATAAATTGTAAAACCACTTCTAACAGTTTGTTATATAACTCAAATCTTGCCGAAAACCCAAGGGATAAACCAAATGAATCACTGTCTGGATCAGTCATAATAAACAGGCTTTAAAGCTGAAACTTCTTCAATATTTTGGTTGTGAATTGACCTGCTTATTTGACGTACTTATCTTAATACAGCTACAGATAGTTAGCAGAAAATATTGGTTCTTAAAAAATATCATTTTTCAGTAATATGAAACAGTGCCCTCTACGTTATACTATTAGAAACTATATGGTGGCATTTGGTCAGCATTTATAGTAAAAAATTGACTTCAAATGCATCTTTTATTTACCACGTTTTTCATGATTTTTGAAAATAATTAGTTGCAGCTTCCAAGCAAATGTTTTTTTGTTTTTTTTTTTCAAAATTGAATAACTGCATGCACAGCTGCAGTAATGCTCTATACATTACTACGTCATTTGGCAGACTAACAAACTGGAGGGACAGATAAGTAGGTTAATTTAAGACCAGAAATTTGAAGAAGTTGCAGTTTTAAAGCTGATTTATGGCTGATCTAGTGACTGATTTGGTTTATGCTTTAGCATGCCGACTTGATTCGAGTAGTATAAGAAACTAGTACAAATGGTTTACATGCATGTAGGGAATCCTTGCTCTTTTCAAATGGAAAAAAATTCACTTTATAGATGATGTTGTCTTATGTGTATATTGCTTAGTTATGACTAATTCAAATAATAAAACATTTTCTTACAGAATATAAGTTCCCTTTTAAGTGTGCTCTGCTGTGATCATGTAATATATGGCTGAGGTTATTTCTCTATTTTTTAGTTTTAATTTGCTGACATTATTGACTGTAAGAGTGAAATTGGATATAAAGACACTTATAGCATTTTTTTATTTTTTAAGGATGGAAAAATAGACAGTGAAGAATTTAAAAATTGCTGGCACAAGTGGATAAGTCAGGTATGATAATGTTCATAATTTTTTTCCTTCTTCCAAGGATGTTGTAAAATAACTTACTTAATTAAAAAGTGGCAGAGTACTTATTCAATGTTCTGAAAAACATTCACTCATGTAGACACATTAACTTCCACTGCCTTGCTTAATNGTCATAACTAGGGCAGGTAACTACATGGCCGGGCTGGTAACTTTTCAGAGTTAGCTGCCCGGCGGTCTGGCTAGTAATTTCCTTGAATTTCATACACTGCTTTAAAGCTGAAACTTCTTCAATATTTTGGTTGTGAATTGACCTGCTTATTTGACGTACTTATCTTAATACAGCTACAGATAGTTAGCAGAAAATATTGGTTCTTAAAAAATATCATTTTTCAGTAATATGAAACAGTGCCCTCTACGTTATACTATTAGAAACTATATGGTGGCATTTGGTCAGCATTTATAGTAAAAAATTGACTTCAAATGCATCTTTTATTTACCACGTTTTTCATGATTTTTGAAAATAATTAGTTGCAGCTTCCAAGCAAATTTTTTTTTTTTTTTTTTTTCAAAATTCGAATAACTGCATGCACAGCTGCAGTTATGCTCTATACATTACTACGTCATTTGGCAGACTAACAAACTGGAGGGACAGATAAGTAGGTTAATTTAAGACCAGAAATTTGAAGAAGTTGCAGTTTTAAAGCTGATTTATGGCTGATCTAGTGACTGATTTGGTTTATGCTTTAGCATGCCGACTTGATTCGAGTAGTATAAGAAACTAGTACAAATGGTTTACATGCATGTAGGGAATCCTTGCTCTTTTCAAATGGAAAAAAATTCACTTTATAGATGATGTTGTCTTATGTGTATATTGCTTAGTTATGTTTAATTCAAATAATAAAACATTTTCTTACAGAATATAAGTTCCCTTTTAAGTGTGCTCTGCTGTGATCATGTAATATATGGCTGAGGTTATTTCTCTATTTTTTAGTTTTAATTTGCTGACATTATTGACTGTAAGAGTGAAATTGGATATAAAGACACTTATAGCATTTTTTTATTTTTTAAGGATGGAAAAATAGACAGTGAAGAATTTAAAAATTGCTGGCACAAGTGGATAAGTCAGGTATGATAATGTTCATAATTTTTTTCCTTCTTCCAAGGATGTTGTAAAATAACTTACTTAATTAAAAAGTGGCAGAGTACTTATTCAATGTTCTGAAAAACATTCACTCATGTAGACACATTAACTTCCACTGCCTTGCTTAATTCTTTTTGTCTTCTGGTTTCTTCTTTAGAGTCTCTGTCATTTTCAGATTCTTGATCCAGTGACAGCCTTGATAATTGTTGATGTCCAGAATGATTTTATCAGCGGCTCTTTAGCCATCCAAGAAGGGGAGTTGATCGTTTCTCCTATTAATAACATTCTTGACACCTACAAATTTGATTTAGTGGTCTACACTCTAGACTGGCATCCACATGATCATATATCCTTTGTTGAGAATGTGAAAAAAAGAGAAATAGACCCAGCGTCAAAGGTAGGTCAAGCACCCTAGTTTGCAGAAAATGGTAGATTTTAATTTGATGCCTTGTTTGGTAGTAATTATAGCATTTTTAAAGAAGTGAAAAAAAAGTCATTATTGCAGATTAATACCAAAATTAATGACAAAAGGTCAACATTGGTTTAATGTATCCATCAAAAAAAAAAAAAAAAAGAGGGAAGGAGGCAATATTACCTTAAGTGTGCATTTTTTGAAAATTGCTATGTCAAAAAGTCTGGCATTAGAAGTGTTTATCCTATGTTTTTACAAATTCTTATGTCCTTTGTGATCAGGTAAAAGCAGAGCATGCAAAGGTACAAGATGAGGTTATATTCAGGATCCCTGGCTATGAAGAGGGAAGAATACAGACTGTGTGGCCGAGGCATTGTGTTCAAAATACTGAAGGAGCAAAATTGCATAAAGATCTTAAAGTAAGCCTGCCTCTCTCTCTCTCTCTCTCTTATATATTTCTGTTAATCTAGGAAGCATAGGCATACTGGATATATGTATTTTGAATAACTTTATTACATATGTTGGTATGGAGTAGGTGTAATTAATTGATTTAAGCAATTATCAAATTAACCTGTTGAATAGTACATACTGACTTTGTGTGTATTGCATCAGCTGTTTTTCATGATACTTACATTATCAAACATATTTTGGTCAGGTTGTTATTATTTGTTTCTTCCAGTTATTAAACAATGCACTGTACATAAACAAGGGCACAGATCCCGATATTGACAGCTACTCAGCTTTCTGGGACAATGGCAAATTAAGGCAAACTCAGCTAGAGGCGGAATTAAGGAAAAGAAAAGTAACAGATGTCTATGTCTGCGGGCTGGCCATAGACATCTGTGTCCGTAAGTAATAATTGTCTGGCCTAGAATATGTTATCTGAAATCATCTTGCATTCATCCTACCACAGTTAATCAAACTGTGACCCATTTCGCTACTTATTTGGATAAATGGCTGTAGCCTAAATGGGGTATTTATTGATTGTTTCAAGATGTAAGATCTAACATTATTTTTCGGTTGATATTTATTTATGTATATTTAAGATTATTAGATTATGGATTTTTCAAATAATATTATTCTGAATTTACAGATGGGATTTTAATGGAGTAAGAGATGTCTATTTGTGTGAGTTGATTGTCGATATGTCTGATGTGTTTTTAAGCCCAATTTGTATTTATAATTATTATGCATATGGGAATTTTGATTGCAAGCAATATTAAAGAGTGTGTTTGTGTGTGCATGAAGATTTTTATTTTTGGTTGCCAGATTTGTCAGTTACAGTACTTGATTCGTACTAGTACAGCCAAAGTAAAAAGAAAAAAAAAAACAATCACTGTAATTCTACTTGAAATTAAGGGAATACTGATGCAATGTATATATTTATACAGTTGTTTTGGTAGCAATATATGAAAAATATGATTAAAAACAAAATAATGACAATGAAGATGAATTCATGACACAGTATAATCAACAAGTCTGTGTAATTACTGTATTTTTTTTCCAGGTTTTACTTCTCTAGACTCCATTGCTCATGGCTTCCGAACTATTCTGATAGACAATGCTTGTAAAGGCGTCGATCAACAAAGTGTTGAACCAAGTAGAGAACAGATCAGGAAAAGTGGAGGATTGTGCATTGACATTTGTGAGGTATGACCTCCGCACTGTTGTCTCTTCTCATATGGTTTGAAGCTAGGTTAATATGGTGAAAGTTTTCAGGATTATGCCTGATTTCAGGAGTTTCAGTCTTCATTTTTATTATTTTATCAAAAAGAAAAGATACACATGTAAATTAATGTCTAAGAATCACTACGAGGTGGCAGCACAGACACCAGTGTGACACATTGATAAATATCAATGAGTGGCTCCCAGGTGTTAGCACAGTTGAGATTTATGCCTGAGAGCCACTGCCTCAAAAATGAAATCGGATAGTTTTCTTTATTTAATGAGAGGTAAAAGTAAACCGTTTGGTTGAACATTTGACACTTGCACCTGAATATACAATTCAGTATGCATTAATAGTATGTTTTTTGTTCTTGTCCTGTTTTCAGATGGGTGATATTTATAGTTTGGTAGACCGACGGCCAGAGATTGGTCTTCATGCAGCAAGAACAGCATTAGGTGGCAAGAAGTGTGACGAAATAGAGAGGAGAGTCATTACCCAGTAACCTTCAGGTCATGGGTCAAAAGAAGGGTCAAAGTTCAATATCTACTTAATTTATGGCATATCCCACTGACTAAATTCAACATATGGAGCTGAAAATGTGGCATGAAGTAAGAATTGAAATATTGCCAGATAGAAATTAATTTTGATTGAAAAAAAGTTTAGTTCACAGTTCATATTAAATCATGTGACATATTAAGATGCAATAGAACATATTTTTTTAACCTGTAATAGCATTACGGAGGGGTTTGTGCCTATGGATCATTCAGATCTCACAGGCTTTATTATGATCATTATTTATTCTTTCATTAATTTATTTATTTTGTAGGGGGTAGAGGTAATGATATGCCAAGTATTCACTTATTAACTAAACAGACTGCACTGATAACAAAATTTTAATTTGTGTGTATTTTGTGCTCTCTCAAATTATTATTTAAACAGGGGAAATAGTCTAAAATTGGGCTTGTGAAAGTACGGATGATTTTAAGTCATTTTTAGATGAGGCCAGTCAGCAAAAATATTCAGTATGTTTGATTAAAATTTTTTTAAATTTTTAAAATATTCTTTTTAACTGATGAATATGACTGAGGCATGTAAGGTATTTTTACGCAAAATACATTTGCATAGAGGCACACGTGCATATAAATGGCATTGTGATGTTTTAACATATATGTTCATACAAGTACATGTGCACATCACAGTGTTGGAGAAACACATGCACACCTGAATAGTTCTGAATAACAGGGTATACACTTAGAATATAGCCTTGTAAATCACCCGGGCTTCTTTTTTTGCTCAATGTCCTTCCGTTGGTCTTTATGATGTTAAGCTGATTTATCCCTTTACATGTCATAAATGTATTAAATTTTCATTTTTTTAAATTATTGTACATTTTTTACTCTCTGTAACATTTTGTAATATGGTATGTATGTTGCACCAGTATAAAGGGAATTATATGGCTAAATGACATAAGTGATGTGTCTTGTACTGTAGTGTTCTAGCCATGGTGGAGGTTGATATACAGAATTACTGTTTTCTTTTATATATGATATATAAATATGTTTATCTGCACAGATTGCAGTTTATCTTCAGTGAAGAAGTAAGATGTCCATTGATTGAATTTTGTAAAGCATGGCAAACATCCTACATTTCAAAAAAGTTATTATTTTCAGTATTTTTTGTTTTGCAAAACTTAATGAGTAGGTAAAAGTATTTAACTGTCTCATTCATAAAAATGTTTAATCATATTGTAAGCATCAAGTTATTTTTTAAACCCGGTAAGTGATAATTCTGACTTTGTATTTTGTATACTGGCTTTATATTTTCATAGTCATAAAGATATGAAATTTTACGTTTAAGATTTGTAACTTACTATTTGTCTGATGAAATTACACAAAAGACACACAATCATAAGTAATTTTTTTCAAGTTATCATCAATTTTAAGTATGTTGCACATTTAAATACAGAGGAAGATTTTACAGTAAGGTACTTTTGTCATGTTTTGTGAAGCATCTGTACCATTTGGAAAAAAAATGTGATTGGATGTATTATGCTGTCATATTTATATATTTAAAGAAGGCTTATTAAAAGTCTAATAACAGTTGAAAAGCTTTGTTTTCTGTTATTTCAACTAGCTCAAAACTGCAAACTCGATTTTGGCAAGTTAAAATTTAGCCACCAGATCCCACCACATAGCTTCAAATAGTATAACTTAGAAAACATCATTTATATTATCTGAAAATTGATATTTAAATGGATGGATGGATGTTTTCTTCCTTTTTTTTTTTCGTCTTGTATATAACAAAGGTAGAGAAATAGGTCAATTTGCAACCAAAAATTTGATGATGGTGCAGCTTTAAAGCTCTTTTATGGCTGATTAAGTCAAAATCCATGGTGGAAATGTTCTGAAAACTCCTATTTAATCGCAAACACTTTTAAAAGTAAAATGGTGATGTATGCTCAGGGCTCCTGATACAGTCTTAAAGCCAGTTTCAAATGCTTTCTTGTCTTGTGAAGGTCTTGGGCCTGTCACAAACAACACTTGATTGCAACGCAATGCAATGCATTTCAAGTCATTGATTACTATATTTATTTTACAACTTTATAATATTTACAAAGATGATAACTTAAAAAAACCTAATATATACCTGACATATTAAATATCTTGATCTGAGATAGTTGTTGGCACTTAATCAAAGATGAAACCCTATTAGATGGCTTAATTCCAATATTAAAATCTTATGATAATCCATTAAAAAATAATCATTTATGGCAAACAAGTTTATGAAATAAGAATTAGGCATTTATAGCATTGTATGTTCCATAGTCCAAATTACTGTCCCCTTTTTTTCTCAAGGATCATAGTGTCAATAGGAGAAAATGGCCACACTAAAAGTCACCATATAACATTCATTAGCGCTCTGATAGGATAAAAGATACCCCCAATCAATCGATAACCATCAATCAAATGTCAGTTACCACTCGATACCCAATGCTCCTATTAAATTTAATGTTTTTCTGCTGCTCAAAGAAACTGAATGTGCCATTATTGGAATAATTTGTCTTCTATACCAGAAGAACAAAATTTCAACACAAAATCTACCCATTTCGACATTCAAACTGCAGTTGACATAAATATGAATAAAACCTACATTTTATATAAAATTCCATCTTCAGAAATCACTTCTAGCTTAAAATAGTTAAAATACACCATAATTGAAAATTTGAAAAATGTACCAGATTGTTGTCTTGGTTTTCAAAGTTTTCAAATTTGTCTCATAATTTCCCCTGCTGTACAACAAATTCACATCCCTCACACAACTATAAGAACAAAAATTGCAATGAACACATTAAATACAGCAGATAAAATAAACTAGTTTTAATTTCGAACCTTGATTGTGAAAAAAAATCAGTTAATGATAGACTAGCTTTTGAGCCCATTTCACAAAGAACTCATGTTTTTGGGCTTAGTTCAGACTTATCGTTATTTTTCTACTAATGCCCATTGCTATGACTCCATTAAAATTGTTTTATTGAATCTACTTCTTGAATAATCAACTAATATAATAATTACTGTATCAACTTTTTTCCTTGGATAGCACCTGGTAAATAATTTGGGGGGATCATAAATGATCATAAAAAAGCAGTATGATTATGAAAAACCATTTGTTGTAGCACCAAATCCCAAACCGTCATGGCAATTAAAACAGCACAGAAGATTAAAATATTTGAAAATATTATAAATATCAGCAATATAGGAGAATTTTCACAAATCCCTTTCAAATATTAACACACACACATGTAAATATATTTTTATTACAAATAAATTGCCTCTATCCGTGTAAAAGAAATTCATATTATTAATATATATTCATAAACAGCTCAAAATAAAAGTGAATTCCCTTAATATCCCATAACATTAAAACCAATAAAAGCCCTTTTTTATGCTGAGAAAAATCATGAAATCATAGAATCACTATAGGCAAAAAGGCATTCTTGATGACAGCGTACATAAAATGATAAAATGAACACTATAACCGATCTAAAATGTAAAGCCATCTGTGTAAACTTGAGTAAATACCTCACACATAAAATAAGAATTATGTAATTCATTATAGTATTTATAAATATCATTTGAATTGATCTAAGTGTTATTATCTACATGGTTTATAAATATTCCAAAATGAACTTGCAAGCACCTGATATGAGCAATTTGGCATATCAAAATTTAACAGATCATTTGAGAAATAAAAAAACACCTGTACATTGGGTCACATGTTTCCAGTCTTGTCAACTGCCTGTAGCCATTCCCTGTCAGCTTGTCGTTAATGGTTTTATGTAAATCTGGAAATTTTTGAAAAACAAATTTAAGATGCAACAAACACATTGGACATTTGATAATTTCACTCTCTTACCACCACCAGAAAATATTTCCTGTACAGAACATTTCCAATGCATGAACTTGAAAATTTTAATCACAATGACTTTACTTAGATTTATATAAGTAAAGATAGATCGTTTTGTATACATTATTTAAAACAACTAAAGCCTTTAAACTTTATTTACTGTTTATGTGCATTTTCCTCACCCCAACTTTCAGAGTTTACAGTCACATAATTTTATAGTATCAGCTTGGGCATCTGCCATTTCCAATCATTCTACTGAAAATTACAGACCAATACCAGGCCTACCCAGGTCTACCACACTGCCCATTTTCAATGTGTGCGTCAGTACGCATTTCACAGTATCATACCCAGAACAAATTTTGAGTGGTGATGCAATACTTTCCAACCCCGCCGAGAATCATCACTATCTCATCGCGCACTTGGCAAGAGGGGTGTAGCGTCTGATACTTTGAAGTGCATACTGACGCGCACCTTGAAAACGGGTAGTGTGGTCCGATCTACCGGTGGATTCAGGATCATTCTGTGCTGAGTCTGGTAGTTAGGTAGGCCTCAATACTGATAATTGAGATGACTTTCCAGTTACAATGTACCACTCAAATTCAGGGTGCTTTTTCTTACCTCACTGAGGATAACCCATGCCTTGCTCTCAGACTTCACATGCAGTCTTAACTCCAATATAGGACCAAGAGCAGCTCCAACATCCCCCTTGGCCACGCTATTAACAAACTCCCCCATGATCAGGTAGCCGTCGTTTGTGCGATTGTACTGTTGGTAGTTCACGTCATTGGTCAGGATGCCATCTTGTTTTTGTGTGTGCGAGTATGGCATGATTTCAACAGTTGTGTTATACAACTGATCCCCAGGGTGCTCCGGATTACCACTTTTGAAGTAAAAGCTACAAAGATAGGTAAGAATTAATAAATAGATTCATTTTATGGAAAATTCTGACTTCTTTTGTGGGCCTGAAGAGTGTCTTTCTCACCTGCTGAGTAGGGAAGGAGACTGAGCTAGACATTTTGTTTTGGGAAAAAAAAAAAAAAAAAACTACAAGTGATGACAATGCACTATTTAACACTAGTACAACCACAATGCTAAAAACTACAAATAACTAGAGGATCAGAGAGGCGATACCGCCTCCGAATATTATTATAGGTGACCTAAATCCAAGAGATGGGTACGGGGGCCCTTACCGTCTAGGAGGAGAAGCGGTAACGGTAGCCGTCCGGCGGAGCCGCAGGAGCCGGCAGAGCCGGCAGAACGATACGGACGGGACTAAAACCATGTGTACCACCAGCGCTAACGCTGGTGGTACAATTATCAAAACTTTCATTTAATCAAAGGCAGCAATTTTTCCTGAAAACTGCTAAAAAATATAATTTAGTGGCCTGAAGGTCCTTATCAATGAACAAAACATTCATTAATTCTCATGCGAACATTTTCTGCATATCACGGTATGGAAAAATCACCGAGGACTTGCTTGTTGACTTTAGTTAAAAACCCTGAAAGCGAGCAATGTTATCTCACCTCTCTAATGCTATTGGTGGATTAAACCTGAAGATGCACATATCGCCAGCTTTGGGAAAGGTTCCCCAGAAAAAGTCCAGGCCCAGATAGGCATCATCCAGGGAGTATTTCTGGTATTTTTCTATCGTGGTGGACACCTCAGCTGGAGGGTTGGTGTGGGGATGATGGAGCTGAGCCTTGCCAAAGTCCTTGTCCTGGTAGAACAAAATATATGTCTGAGGTTTTTATTTGGATTTTTATTATCTTTAGTATCCCATAGTCAAATCTCACCATGTGTTCAACAAGCCTAAGGTTCATATCTACTGTAATAAATTTAACCTGCAATAGAAATCTCTCATTTGTAAAGATTTAGGAGAAGAAGAGGATTAAATAACAATATATGACTAATGGACACGTTTTGATTTGTTGAAGGTAATAAAAACAAGGCATGACTATTGGGATTAGTTCAATTTGATCTTTAGCATTTAATAGACAAGTCTCACATGTTCAAAGACATATGGCTTGGCTTTTTGGATTAGATTATTTCCAGCATCAAGTGAATGTCTCATCTTGAAACATAATGAAATATTGATTTAGAATCCTTATTACAATATGCAAAAAAAGGTTAAACCAGACTGTTTCATTATATAAAACAAACTTGGGGAATATTTTTGCAATACATTAAATTACCATATTTTTGAGAAATTTCATGTTGCATTGACATATGCCTGACCCATGTCATTCTTACTTTCAATTTCTGCACTTTTCCCTTCAGTGAAGAATGCATTCCAACGTGCTGAAACAGGGAGGGTTTGAAGCGGCGGCGTAAACTGCTCTTCATTCGGTCGCAGTATTTCTGACAAAAAAGTCATTTCAAAGACTGCTTTACACTGACACAGGAATAAATAAGTGCATTAGTAAAACATGTGATTCATAGATTCTAAGTACACTTTTGAAAAATTTGTTTCACATTTTCAATACATGATAGTAACAGGAACTTAAACCTTGGTTTATTCTAACTCAGTTAAAACAAATAACATATGAAAATTTCCTGAAATTTTTCTGTTATGTATCTTTTTCCTTATATTTCTCCCCACACGATAAACAACAAGGCATAAACAGCACTTGTATATTCATTTCCTTATTCATTTACTCACTGCATCCTTCTCTGGACTACACAATTTGACAAACAGATAATGGTCCAGTAGCCAGTCTATGGGCTTCTCTGTGTAGAACATCAGGATAAACTCTATCAAGTATGGCAAATCAGCAGACTTGAACATCTTCCCTGGAATAATAAAAATTATAATAATAATGATAATAATAATAATGCAACAATTAGATTACACCCGTGGGCTTGAGTATCAAAATTAACACTTCATTGTCCAGCAAAAAAAGCGAACATGTGCCAGTTAACACAATTCACTACATATTTCTTTCATTAAACATTAAACATTTAACAATTTACGAAACACTCAAAATGTAGCATGATATTAACAATACAATAATATTTGAAAGTGGCACAAATTGATACAAAAAACAACATAGAGTTGCCAGTTGTCTGTATCACTCTATCTACTAATATGTTTTCAATATTGTCCCATGCACAGCTCATATTCCTATGACCATGAATGTTTCAATCCAGTCTACAGCCAATTTACCAATGAAGCCCAGGTATGAGAACTCCAGCAGTAGCCAGTCATCTGTCTTCTGGCTGAGAGCAAAGTTCTTCATGATGGTCACGTAACCAGACTTGGCCATGACATCATCTTCCAGCTGGAAAAGAAAGAAATTATCGCACCCAATGCTGCAGTTACTGTGTCACATGTAACGGCATATCATGAGTTAGTACAATCATGCCCTATATAACTCAGAGATGAAACTGCCATTTAAAAGTGAAAAAAGCGGAAAATAGGCCAATGGTATTTTTGGCTCCTAAAAAGTCGGAAATCCACCAATAGTTGGAAAAATCTCATCTCTGATAATTTCAAGAACTGGATGGGTTTTGCTCTAAATATATATATGATACTGTGGGTTTCAGATGTTACTAAAAACTGACCCCAATTATCAGCATTTCTCTCAGTCTATCTCTGGATTGATTTGATATAAATTTTCCAACAGTTAAGTTTGCAACACAATTTCACTGCTTCAAAGAGTACACGGCGTTTTATTAAAGAATTCACATCTAAATCTTCTTACCTGTACATAATACGTCCCCCTTGTTCTGGCATACATCCATAGATACACAAAGTCCAGGTTTTGTTTACTTCTCCATCTGAAATAAAGTGTGAGACAAATATGATGTGAGTAAATACTGGTTGGCTGGTTGATGAACAGATAGCCTAGCAGTCAAAATGAAAATAAGTCCACTTTGTTATTGTTAAATCTAAGTTAGGTTCAAAATTAAAAAAAAAAAAAATTGAAAATAAGCAAACAAACGATATGGACATAAATCTTAAAGCGATTGAAAAGTCATAAATATTTCCAGTAAAGCATTATAATATTTGTAAAAAATTAAAAGATTTAGCATTACTTATGCATGAACCAACCAAAAGTAACAGGGGCATATCTACAGAAAAGTTTACTAACAACTATCACATCTGACAGCTGCAAGAAGGTAAAAAAAAAAAAAAAAAAAAAAACTGTGAGTGGTGCCCTCTTCAAATGGCACCCCAGGGTAAACACCCCCAGGTTATTGTCGCTCACCTTGTCCTCTCCTTGGAGTCCCCCAGGGTCTCCTTTATGCTGTCCAGATCAGGGTAATAGGAGGCAGAGGGTCCCAACACCTCAATAAGACCTGAACCCACTTCATCTGGAAAACTGATGCCAGGATATATTATATTATATTATATTATATTATATTATATTATATTATATTATATTATATTATATTATATTATATTATATTATATTATATTATATTATATTATATTATATTATATTATATTATATTATATTATATTATATTATATTATATTATATTATATTACAACATTCAAAATAAGTTAATTACATCTAAATGTAGAAATACTAAAAGGAAGTTGCATTTTGTATACATCTTCAGATTGAACACCTTTGCTTGATTAAACTTTTTTATGCAGACTGCACATATACATGCTTTCTCTGCAGACACCATCACATCTGAGACTAGGGTGGAAGAGGCAGTATAATTAACTTCAGGTGCATTTGAAAACAAAACTTTCTATAGGTGTCCATAACAGCTACTCACTTTGACTTGACCAGCTCTGCCTGGCTCTGGATGTACTTCACATCATAGGGCTGAAAGCAGAAATTTTATTATTAAAAGTAAAATTGCTAGTAATAGTATGAACAGGTTCTTCTTATTAAATAATATACATGGGCTTCTTTGTTAATTTACCCCGTTACTTGAGGTATCCTATCCTGGGATTTCCAATCAAATCTAATTTTCAAAAAAAAAAAAAAAAAAAAAAAAAACTTACTCACAAATCCTTGCTCAGCCATCCCTGCACTTGGATCTGAGGTTTTATAACATTATTTTTGTAAATCTTAATTTAAAAATTTTAATTTAAAAATCAAATAATTTAATTCTAAATGCCTGGCCTGTCACATAGACCATCAAGTCTTCTGTACATTTTAGAAGGAAACATTGACATCAGGTACTTCATTTTTTTTTTTTTTTTTTTTGTGTTGTTGTTGTTTTTAACGTCTGAATTGAGAAAGATATTGAGCAGACAAAGACAATTTTATTTTGGGATATTTTCAAATATGAATAGTATAATTTACATTAAACAAAAAAAAAAAAAAAATTAAATCACCTGAATATTTCTTTTAACTGTTCAATATGGTTTTCTTTCTTAAAGTAGTAAATTAATCAGTAATTTTATGACACAGCTGGTTGCAATTTACTTTAAGCTATATTAGCTTGAGAAACAATAATCTATCAAAATGAATATATTTGAAAGAAAAAGGCATTAAAAAGAGAAACTGCATCACTTACCATACCATACTTCACGAAAACATCACGACTCAACATAATTAATGTACCATTATATAACAATGGTGAACCCAAATGTAATCACTAACAGCTGTCACTGAATTGTATTTTCTATAAAGTTTCCCATCCCTTATTCCTTGTTGAACTGCATACTAAATTCCATTTTTTGTATGGGTTTTATTATACCGTTTATGGAGATATAGTCAGGCTCAAAAAAATAACCTCAACAGAAAATAAAATGATTTTTCTAGTATCAGTCATGCTGTTCAAGTTTTGTCAATAAAATCAGATGTTATAAGCATGCATGATAAGTACATGAAAGGGTAATTTACTTTTTACTTGGAAATCGGGATGCTTTTGGGAATAAGATTCAACATGAAGAGCCATCTTCACTTTTACTTTAAGAGTTAGTCAAAAAGGCCTTGCAAGCATGCTTGCTTGCGTGTGTGTGTGTGTGTGTGTGTGTGTGTCTGTGTGTGTGTGTGTGTGTGTGCACGTGCATATGTGTGTTAAAAATTCAAGCCACATCTGGTAAATGTTCAGGCTGATTTTAAAAATTTGAAAAATAAATAAATAATATTTATACAAGCCATTTAAATCTACCTTTACTTTTCAAGAATTAAAGTAAATTCATACTATTTGACATGTGAAAGGGAGGGACTGCTATCTATGACATTTCTTTGGCAGAAAATGGAAATACTTAAAAGACTGTTTGAAGATTTCTAAGATGAGAAGAGGTTTTGGGTTTCGAGTATCTAAAAGTATGTTCAATTCATTCCAGTGGTGTGAAAATGCTAGCAAACCAAACACATTCCATCAATATTAACAATGCACTCTCTGATTGCTTCTCTAGTTGTAAATATCACACAGTCAATCATACCTACCTCTGCTATTAACACAACCAGCAATGTATCATTCTTTTCTTCTTCATTGAGGTTATCCACCAGCGACCTCAAAGTATCCAATAAATAGCTGTTTTTCTCTCTCTTCACTGAGGGAATGCCAACAACGATTGATACTGGAAAAATAGCATATTTATCAATAAGTTATTTGATTAATAAGATGTGATATGGAAGATGTTGTTCCCATTTTTTTTCTCTCGCTCTCATACCACTATGTGACCATAAAAATGTAAAATATATTTTTGACAAACATTACGGATTATTAAGTAACTTTTTAAAAAACAGTGGGTTTAAAAAGCGAAAACAATCAATCTGCCACTATTATGTGTAGCCTACTGATTGCCCCATAGAAAAAGCAAACCAATGGACAATAACAGAGGAAGCAGACAGTTGGTTTAATGTGTCAATAGAATAGTACTGGAAATGAACCACTAATTGATCATGAATTGTATTAGAATACATGTAGTACTGGATATGAACCAATAATTGAGTATGTATTTAACTGGAGAGATAAGTAATGGCAGACTCAAAGGTGAATCAATGAAACTGAGCATGATTATATTCAGAACGGATAAACAGAATAATCCAGAACACCTTCATAATTTCAAATAGATCTACACAGCATCAGATCAATCATATTATGTTTTGTATCAAGAACCAATCATCACTTGGAATAAGTCATTCTCTCTCGTATTTTCTACCATATATAATCACATGCTCTGCTTTAAACAATAACCTGCCATCTTTTATACTTTGTAACTGCAAAACAATTTATTTGCAAATTACTTCATCATAGTTCACAAAAAATATCATACCAAACTCACTTTTAAAAAATTCTTTAAACTAGATGTAAGCAAGTATTCTCAATAATCTGAAAGGTCACACAATTTACCATTGGTTCATACTTTTGAATATGGAGAGCTTACTCAGCACGGTGAATATAAAAATTATAATGCAATAATTCTGTCAATACTAGTACAGGTTATAAGCAAATTATAATATGCAGCTAAGGGATTCTAAAGGATTCCTTATAATAGCAAGAATATTCCATGAAACTGTTTTCAAAATTAGACATCATGAAACAAAATTACCATTATTTGAAGTGACGGTTCAGTCTGAGACCCATAATTTTTATTGTCTTAAACATTCACAATTTCTATCAACTAAATTTCCCAATATAAATAAATCAACAGGCCAAATGTAGTCTAAAATTGCAGTTATAAGTGAGAATGGAAAGAATTCAAAGCAATAGTGTCTTTTTCCCTCCACTGGGAATCAAGGCAATGAACAGTAGTGAAACTTCCATTTCAAGATCAATCATCACTCACAATTACCAACAGAACAGCAATAAGTACAGCCTTTCTATACCCATTAATATGAGAAAGAGCTTCCAACAGATACTGACAATGCAAGACAGATACATATATATTATTTAAAACAATGTGTCTTAACATGAAGGGTATACATTACAGCAAATACTGTATTCATAAACATATTCCAACTATAACATCTGGAGTATTGGTGGACCCAGTCTAGGCAGCCTGACTTTCAGAGATAACAGGAAACTAAGGGCTTATTCCCAATGACACTATCATTCTATGTAGATGGTTCCAACTCTGCAGGGACTCTTGCTGAATGCAATCGGATTAACAGAAAACATACCTCCTCCTTGCATTGAGTTGAACACAGAAAAAACATTGCTTATATGAACAAGTTGGAAACAAGAAGAAAAGTGCTAAGCCATTAATCTGATTGTATTCAGCAAGATGCCCTTTCATCTTAGGGTGTATTCCCAGAGATTTAGATCGATCCAGGGATTAAGATTTAGATCGACCTAACTCCCTGGGTTTCACGCTAAATTGCAGTCAGCCGAGCGTGCACCATAGTTAATTACCTCCTTACAGCTTTCAGTAGGCGGGACAGACGCCTAAGCCAGCTAAGCTGACAGTAATCTAGTGAGACTCCCCACAGGGATAGATCGATCTAAAATCTATGGAAATGGGGTCTTTGTCCTAGTATATAAAAATTTCATTGGGGGGATGATATCGAAGGATTCTTACATTTTTTCAAGTCTATATGCATTTTAGCTTTAATATAACTACATGATGCATGGATTATTGCAAAGCAAAGATTTATATTACTAAATATATTGTTAAAAAATCTCTTCACAATGTAAAATGTGTGTACTGTGGGGTAGCTTTATTTGGAACCTAAAATTGACAAGCATACCTACATCATAAAAAAAACCCTCTTTATACTGTATAAAAAGAAAGTGGCAGTCATATTCATCTTTAATCTTTGAGACAAAAGATGGCTCTTTTCACAAAATATCAATGATATTTCAGCCCCCAAACCATAGGCAACAGGGAGGAAGAGAAAACACATGCTGTTGGAAGATATGAGTTTACTGAATAACAAATATAATTGAAGTGGAAATTAACAGTTGATTCCAAATAAATACAACTCTCTGCAATTTCCTCTTAAAATCATGACTCATTGTTTCAAATCCTGTTACTATCTACAGGCTAATTAATTTTTGAGAATTCAAACACTTCCTGACTCGAGGGGATCTAAATGATTCATATAGATGTCTCTAAATCTCTACTGTTCCATAACCATGCATTACCTCATGCTGAGACACTCACAGGTGTCTATTTAGTAGCAGCCGGACTGGCCTATTCGAAACTTAAACTAAACATTAATAGGCAAGCCTGCCTCAGGAAAAGATTTGAAAAACTGGCAAGAACTGCTCACATATTTCTCAAGACCAGTCAACATTGAGATTTATTTTTTTGCTCTAAATCAAAAATATATAATTGAGTAAGCATATATTTTTCTCATGTTTTCTCCTTATGTTTTCATGAAAATATTCTGATCACCCCAATTTCATATTCAAAATACACAGATCTTGAAAAAGCATGTTTTCCATGAAGCCAAATATATTGAATGGTGTATGGACCCCCGCACTTTCTAAATGGGTGCTTAAAGAAAATTTAAATGTAGTCAAATTCACTGAACCAACAGCCACAGACCAGTAATAGTATCTTGAGGACAATCAGCCAAACTTGGAAATCATCCATTATTCAAAGCCCATTGCGTCAATGTTTAACTTGAAACACCTGTGACTTTGGGAGCAGAAGTCATTTCATTTTACGCCACACTACACTTCTTTCTCTTTTGCAAAAAAAAAAAAATCTCATTTTGAGAATTTTATTTGTTCTTTTTTTATCATATCAATCATTTTATGTTATAAAATGGGTAAAAAAAAATTAAACAACATTATGATGAAAATATTGCAGGTTTGATAAAATTTTATATAATTTGAGAAAATCACGTAATTGTTGAAAATCAGGGTGCATGTAGAAGTATTCAAGTGCACAGCTGGTTTTGGTTATTTATTTTATACTCAGTTTGCTAAATAAAACAACATAAAATTACAAGGTGAGAAAACAGCATAAAATTTTTATAGGATGAGAGAGCTGACATGTGCACAACTGCTGCAAAATAAAACATCTATTAAAAATAAATATAAAACAAGGCAGCAAAGCTGTCAAATGTACAGACAAAAAGCAGAAAATAATGGTGTACAAAATAGGCTATTGTCAATTCTGATAATTTTTTTACAACATTGTTCTTGACATTTATCTCTTATAACATCTATGTCTGTACATAAAAATAAAGTCTTAAGATTTGGTCTCAGTTCAGACAGATAAAATCAGAGCCCATTTAAAAAATACAATTTTCAAAAGTTTATCTCAATGATTTAAAAATCCAAAGATAATAGGAAAAACAACTGACAGAGCTGCTCTACTGGTCCAGCTAGATTAGTAGCTTAAGTATTTAAAAAATCTTGATACTACAGACTATTATAAACTTGCATTTAATTTAATGAAATAAAAAATTATCTTATACAAACCTCCTGTTCTACCCCTAGAGATCCTAAAAGCTGGTGACAGTGCTTCAATGCGGCCATTCAAATGTGTCAGTTCATGGAACATATCAGGGGGACGGATGGCATCGTAGCTCAGACTGGTCAGTAAGTCCCTGTACTGCGACCTGAGAGCAGTACTGATGCTGAAATAAAAATTAAAAAAAATATATATGTAAATACATATTAATTACACACATATTTGTGGGAGATATTCTTTACACCACACAAAAAACATACATATGTAATTGATAGTTATCATTGTGGCTTTTTGAAATTTAAAAACCATATGCCATGTTTAGGATAAACTGTCATTGTTTTGAAAACCATTTGAAAATTCATAACTGTGCACGGCATGATGAATGTCGTTTACAGTCTGTGCTAAAAGATTTTTTGACTACTAACCCTTTGGATTAGCAGGGTGTAACAGTGGGAAAGTGTTACAATAATAAAATTTAAACTTTTGCCTATATCCCTGTGCCTCTTTACTGGTAGTTGGACAATTGCCTCAGACTATGGCCTAACAGTACCGAGTACGTTTATCACATGAAAAATTCAAAAATTAACTGAAATACATGTTGGAATGCCATCTACAGAATTTCCACTGAATAAATAACTTTAAATTAAAGGTGATGCTAACACTTAGCATTAATGTTATAGCAATGCAATATGTTGTATAAATTCTATCATAAAATGTGCCAATAATACGGCCTCTTTGCCTTTCAACATTAAAAATTTACTTCACCTTTGTGTCAAAATGTGAAGCAAATAAAAAACCATGTTATATTTAAATACTAGAGAGAGAAACCTTTCAATGTTTTATGAACAGCTATTCTCATCTCTCCATTTTTATTATTATTATTGCTCAACTGAGAATAAATAACGCTCCTTTAAAGGGATAATAACTCTTAGTTTTGGCCAAAAAATGAATTTTCCTGGAGTAAACAACAATTTTCTCATTCTTACCAATGGTTAATGAATCTGTTTTTACATTCAAAGTTAGTCCCTGTTTTTTTTTTTTCTTAAGAGATTATAACAAAAAAAGATTAAGAGATTATAACAGAGTATAGCCATCAATGTAGGTCACGTGGTCTAAAGACAAGCTCAGATATCAGAATAATAGCTATAACTGCTGTTTTGTGGTAAAACAGAATGAATTATATTTCTATGAGTTGTTCACAATGTGTTTACTGTGAAATATAGATCTCATACGAAGAGTTATTTTCCCTTTAACTTAAAAAAAAAAACCTGTGCAGAATCCATAGGTACCGGATAATTAACCTTTTGGCATTATAAGACATTTCTTTCTGCCATTATGCAGCCCGTGCTCTCAATGGCCAACTTTAAAATAATTGCTCAAATGTCAGGCATAAAGGCTGTTTTTCCAAATACTTGGAGTGGAAGCTTAAGTCATTAAGGCAGACAAGATTATAAGTGAACTTAAAAAAAATTAATTTTAAAAAAATGTACTGCTTCAAAACACAAACACTATTGTTGAGTTGGTTTATACTTTCCAATGAATACGATCATTATTTTTGGAAGGTAAAATTTGCATGTTTTTCTTTACATGCTAGCTTTGTACTGACAAAAACATGACATTTAGCTTGAAAAGCGTGTAAATATATGCTGGTATATATATTCTATCATTCACATACGGGCATGTTAATTATTTAAATAGGAGATTTCAAAAGTAGTAGTGTGCAGCTGATGTATAATTGATGTTAAGTATGATTATTCAAAGTTAAATATTTCTGTAGTAAATGACATGTCTGATTATAGGATAACTATAGGATTATGAGTAATAACGCTGTTTCCACATGATTTTCATAGATTTACCACTGAAAATATAAGACGGAGGGAAGCTGTATACCTGTGAAAACCATGAGGAAACAGCAGCAGTGCTCAAAACTGTATGTAGATATGGACCCCTATATTTTTATTGGTAAAATGCAGGATTGCACAGGCTTGAATTGTGTATAATTTCAAGAGAGTCTGAGAGCAAATAAAGGTATAAGAAATATAGCAGAGAACATCTGTCTAGGGTGTGATATCCATATATACTAACTCACACACACACACACACACACACACACACACACACACACACACATGAACATAATTGTAATTTACAAACCACCAACCTGCTGTCATTACTGTCCCTCAGTTTATTCTGCAGGATAGAACTAAACTGTCTCCGAAGAGATTCATATGCACTCTGTTTCTCCTTGCCAAGTTTCTCGGAGAGAAGTAATTTTGCACTAAGTTCTGTAATACGTTGGTGCATCAGTTGCTCCCGGCTCAACCCTACAACAAAGAAATAAATAAGATAAATAAGAAATGGTGGTTATTTCATTGAGATTATAATTAGTAGGCTTCCCTTATAATTTGTTTCTTTTTTTTCCCTTAAATACAAATGAATATACAAGATAGACTTGAAAATAATCTCAACCAAATGCGCACATGCATGCAAAAAAAAAAAAACATGCACTGTAATATATCATCAATAATTTTGTTATTACATCTGATTCATCAAAACTGTCCTTGGAGAATCCTAAAATAAGAAAAATATTTCAGTCTTCTTTTAAATTATTTTTGTGCTTTATTAGTGAGTAGTCTGAAACAGACAAAAAAAAAAAGACTGGTTAAAGACAGACCTTACCCAGACCTCTGTCAAGTAAACAGATCCTGCCATTATATGGATTAACTGGACTAAAATTGAGTTACTAATTGATTTGTCAAAGGGCATGACCAGAAAACAGAAAACAATTAGCTTAGGGAAGATTGCCTAGACTGAATGAAATATCTTGGTGATTAGTTTTGTGAGCCTCATGTGGCTGCTCATCCAGCTTTGGCAAAATAAGCCAAGTCTGTATACGGTGGGCGTGGGAGTGTTAGAGAGGGCTCTTACTTGCAAAATTTAATTTTGTCAAAGGTACCCAATTTAAAACTTTTTGTTATTGTAGGTGTAAAAGTGTATGTGAAACTCTTCACATTTTTGACCTAAAATAGTTATCCACTTACCCACACCTTCATACACACAAACACGATTTACTCTTTTTAATAATTTAAAGAAATTACCAAATTTATGCAGAAATTTGACATGGAATAGCAGAAATGATCATGCCGCTTACTAAAATTACACGTAGAAGGCTTGCTTCTGTATGCTTCAGTTCAATATACCTGAAGCATACTCAGCAGCAAAACTAACATCTGGCATGCAATCTTGGCAGTTCGTTTATATGAGATCTAAGAGTGGGAAAAGGTCTTCTTTTTTCATTTTCATTTTCTGGCATTTAACACAGTTCAATTTCTAGCTTAAAGTGTACACTTTTCTGTTGGAAAATACCAACATTTGATTTGTACCTATAACCTATCTCTTCTTTGTGTTTATTAGATAAAGGTATTAGTAACAAAGCAACCCCTTAAATCTAATATTCATTTCCCCAAGGAGTGGGCTTATTATTTACGTAATAATAGCACTTCCAAGAAATACCCATCTTACTGAGTGAATAATTTGCGGTATGTGCATAAAAGACCTGTTATTTTTATCAGCATTGGTTACAAAGTTAGCTTACTTGTACTCAAGTGGCAGATAACAAGGCAAAGTAGGTTTCAAAAAGACCCAATAATTTTTTTTTTTTTTTTGCTATCATTCATTTATAATTCTTTCTTTGTTTTCTAATTCAGCATGCCCTCATGATCATTTATCTATACATTTTTCCTGTCTGGTGATTCTTTATGGAAAATTAATATCAAATTTTGTTCTTTTAATTCTACCATTCAAATGGTCTGCTTCTTTAATTGGGGGGGGGGGGGGGTTGATGAGGCTGCATCACCTTTATGAAGACAGTTTTTCCTTTTTTTCTTCCAATGAAAATGTTTGCTCTTTTGCTCTTAAGAAATTAAGGACAATTTTTTTTCTTCCTATCTACCTGTTTTTGAACCAGTGTACCTAAAATCTCCATAAGACAACAATATGTACAGTAATACACCAACTATAATACAAAGCACCAAGTACACATCAAATACTAGTACATGGATGAAAATAACAGTGGTCAAATGCTTCACTAGTGTGTAACAGGACACCACGTATGTATACACTTGGCACCTAATCAAGTGTACATAAGCATACTAACAAGCTTTACCTGTTCTTTATTCAGCCTGCTGTAGCATATTAAAGTAAACATGGCCACTGTTGACTAATGGGATAAAGATACAGAAGTCAATACTGTGTTATGTCACATTTTTTTGTATTATTAATGCAGTGTATGCACAAGGGAAGATCAATGCCTCTGAAGCATGAGAAGTTGCTACAAGCTGTTGCTATCCCAGATGAATTTACTTACAGTATCTTATCTGGTGCTTTGAAACAGCTAGGAGAAATGTTATAAGTTGCTAACAGCAACAACTATTTCTTTTTAAGTATTGTGAATTTTTGAAAGTATATACAAAGAAACTGACTTAAACTCTTTTATTTGCATTCAGGTTTGAGATAATAGTATGCAATTTTCATTCCTTCTGTGCATCCTGATATTACCAGACAATGTAAAAAATCAGTAAAGAGAAGAAATTGTGGGGAAATTATCTCTATGCATGGTTTCATATAATGATAAGAGTTCTGACTTACATGTACTAGTATATCATGACAGATGTCGAGGACAAAAGACCAAGACAAGGTGGAATTTGTGTGTGTGCATGATATGTATGTGCACCTTGGTCTCCTTATTTCTGCCTTCAAGTTTGTAAAACTATGTCCATCAAGCTCAAGATCATTAGGACAGTTATTCTCCTTCTCCAAATTCTCTTTCCTTTGTTTTCTGTCTTGCAATATTTACCACAATGAGAGACAGACAGAGCTTGGTATTCAAAACTTATGTACTAATATTCCAATAATAAAAAAAAATCAGGCACTCCCATGGGCAAATCTTGTGAGGACAGGGTGGGTGGGTGTGTGTGTGAGTGTGTAACCCAACAGATGAGGTCACTAGCAGATTAGCTTCGAGTAAAGTGTACCATTCTTTTCCTGATAAGTTAGAGGTCATAGGGTGGTACACACAGGGATAAGACTGGCATTAAGTGGAAAAGTTGGGGAAATATGGCATGGGGTTCGGGGGGCTGCCTATGCTTATTATATTTTTGGTTCCCAAAAAGTCAGAAAGTTGTGGACAGTCAGAAAAATCTAATCTCTATACACAGTGGTGAAATAGGGGTAATAATCACTGTCATTAAACTCAACTCTTTGCAAGTTTTTGACATGTTTTTTGTTATTCTGCCTTTTTATCTTCTGATAAAAATTTTGTGGGTGTCTTGTGATCTTAATGCCTTATTGGTAACCAAGATCAAGTCTGAATAGTTGACAGTAGCCTCAGGTTAAGGAACAAACAGATCTATATTCAGAAGTCTCCCAGTTTCATCTCCGTATTAGTAATTTGTTCTATCATTTTACATCTACTCTGATACTAGGGAAAACAGGTACATGGGGGGGGGGGGGGGG